GTTAAATGTATCAAAAAAGCCCGAATTTTTAAAATGACAAAACTATATGCCAGTCGGAGATAACAATTTTGCTATGAACGTACTATCAGTCAAAGTAGGCAGATCATTGTAGAAAATGTGAACGAACCTACATGAATATCCAATAAAATTAGAAATAATTTTCTTTAATTGATTGAATTTCGATTAGAAACACATGCACATGGTCCACGTATTGTAGTCCTTTTTTTAAAGGACAGCAACTTGTTAAACATAATAAATGTCATGCAATTATGCTTATTCTTACCGGTATCTCTCCACTCCATATATGCATATATTTTTTTAAATTAAAAAATACATCTAATTAATTCTATGCTTATAGTGAAAATCATCATTGCAGAAACAATAAAATGTTTTTCATTGAAGGGCAAGTTGGACTTCGATAGCCTCCGGAAAGTTGTTTTCCGTGTTTATTGTGTCCAAATGTTAAGAACTGAAACTGAAAGTACATTGCAAATGCCGGATTTTATAGGGATCTTGTCTTTATATATATGTCATGCTTTCAATAACAGCCATTCAGAGCCCATTCACGCCCAACTTGCCCTTCATTGATAAGCTAGCATATATTATTTCTTCAATCTGGTTTTTACAAAAAGGATAGGGTTAATCAGGTGCATTTTCCTTAAATATGCTCATTTTTCAAAACAATTTTTCTAAAGAAAAAAATCTTTTCTAAAATATTTGTTTCAAGTGATACCATTGATATATTAATCAATGATATATTTATAAACTGTAAAAGTTTTAACTTTATACCTACATGTATCATAGTTCTGGAGCTTTTTTAAAATTAATTTTTTATACATGTTGACCTTTGACGAAACCTTAAGGAGGCTTGGAGTCAACAAATAAACCATCAGATATAGCAAAATTTTTATATGATTTCTTCATCTGTCAACCATCATTTTGTACAGAAAAATTTCATATATTTTAGTTTTAAAATTTCATCAATTTGAATCTCTTCATATGGTAGGCCTTTCAACTGCCGCTAGGGTTCGCTGTTATGAACGATATCTCGTTGCTGAAACTGGTTTAGAGCAGGTCCGAGGTATCGAACTGTTTATACGCAAGTCAGTTTTTAACATTTCCCAAATGTTTCTTTGCTGTCAATAGAATCCAGTGGTTTTAAAACTTAGCACTAATGTTAAACTTATTTGCTGTATAGTTGTGGACACCGTTTAATAAGATATAAGTAAAATTTTAAAGTAAAATAGAAAGTGAAATCTACCCTCCTTCTTAGTTCCAACCTATGTTTATACTTGGTCGTTCTTCTTCGTGCCAGGTAACACACATAAGATAATTATTTGTTGCATATTTACTTGTGAAAATATATATATATTTATATAGGAAGCGCAAAAATGCGCACAAAAAATGTCATTATATTTTCTTCGTCATAACAATTGTCAAAGAGAGTTAAAAGTATTTATTATAGTCTGTTCCTCATTCATTTGAACCTGTTATTTGAGGTAGAGTGAAGACATTCTCCTTCTTTTGGTCAACGCTTTTGTGTACATAACAATATTGATACCAATGCTGAAGTAGCATATACTAGTATGTCATTCCTATAAACGATAACTCATAAGTCGGTACTTTGTCATTTTTCACACCTAAGTAACCTGTCCTTAAAACACAACATCGTACAATTCAATGATAAATAATTAATGGTTTAAATAAACATATAATAAATGCATAAGTTATTATCTTTTGATAATTTTTTGTACCTAAAAATCTATCGATGAAATGTTTTTACTAAATGTGCAACTTGAAAAATTAGTTGAAAGGCTTACATATGGAGCTCTTCATCTACGGGAGATCAATATGGATAAAAATAGCCACAACCACCAAGCCTTCTTAAAGAATTTCAATTTTGTGTAACGACGGCTATATTTTTCAAAACGTATGCGTTTTCCCCATCAATGTTCCAAAAGAGGCAATTAACTCTCAGACCATTTCTGTTTTCCTAATATGTACGTCCAAAAAATACATTTTTTTAAAAAATCGAAAGGTAAGGACTGGAATTTTTGGGAATAATTTGTACATCCAAAGTAATGCAAGAATACTTTAAGAATGGAGAATTCTCATTATTGCATGTAAAGTACTTTCGTTTTCGGCATCAACGATATATAAGAACAGATGTACCAGGAAATCTGCACATCTGATCTTTGTATTGATGCTTAATTATTTAGTTCTGAAAATGAACATACCAGTAGTTAAAACAAGCAACTTATTTTACTTTAATATTTACCAGCGAAAGAAACCGATATCAATACAGTATTTTGAATTAATTCACGATACGCAATGGGGACGGTCGACTAAGTTAGATCCTCCGAGAATCAGAAACTGTTTAATCCATTACAATAAGTTAAAAAATATAGAAGTGAGCTGTTGTGATTTTGTGTGTTTGTTTTGAGACTGCATGTTGCTGAAAATACTATAGTTAGTTTTCAGTAAATTTATTATATTTCCAGTTGGTCACCACATTGGAGCTCAACATGCTATTAGTAATATTCTTTCATTATTCAGCCAACTTTAACTCTTATACTGTATGACAGGAAGCATTTCTTTTTTGAAAAATATACATTAGTTAGAACATCGATTTCATAATTTTTATTCCCTTTAGATTTTTCTCCAAATATTTTTGCTGCAACTTCTTAAATTTTGTAAGACAAAGAGGGGAAAATATATATATACTGCACACCGGCAAATACGTACAGATGTACCTAGAAATCTGAACATTTGTTTTTCTGTATTGATATTCAATTAATTCTGAAAAAGCAACATATTTTAACTTAATATTTACCTTCTAAGGAAACTGACATCGATTTTTGAAGTAGTAAATGATACAGAATGGGGGCGATAAACTGAGTTAGATCCTCCCAGAATCAGAAACTGTTTAAGTCTCCGAAAATCCGACTCTGGTGGAGTTCCTGAACGTTGCTCCATGTTCCATTACAATAAGTTCAAGAATATAAAAGAGAACTGGTGTGGTTTTGTGTGTTCGTCGAGAGAATGCACATTGTTGCTAAAAATATACTATTGGAAATTTTAAATGATATCATATCTTTAAAAATAGAATTTGAGTAGTACATCTAGATCACCTGTACTTTATAAAAAGTCAAGCCAACGGGTTGGAGACAGGCAACGTAGTATTACAATGTACGGGGCCCATTTTTCTCCAGACAAGGAAATGTTCATTGAAAGACTGGTTGACCATTGATCCATCCCCACTTTTTGTAGCATTATATTTATAGAGAAGTATGTATGAGCAGTTGAAAAAAATGGTACTCAAAGTTAAAACATACCCCCACCCCACCCACGCTACCCCACCCCAACTACCACCAACACCAGCAAATTGGGTTTTTGAGATAAGCCAATTTTCTTTTCTTTTTTCTTTTTTTTTCTTTGGCTTGTCAATTTCTTTTTCAGTAAATAAAAAAAAATCTCATGCTCCTCTCCCCTTGTTTCAAAAGCGATGCTACGTGTCTGAGAGATGGGGTTTATTTATCTAGTATCGTGTTCCTCTGGGAGCAAGGACCACTCTAAAGTTAATGTAGATTTGGATTCCTGATCCCCCATGTTATCCCGTCTTGCTTCATACAGTTTTTATTATAGGCTAACTCTGAGTTGCTTACAGGCATCTTCATACATAAAACATACCAGTATACTGTGTATTCGAGTATGTCTTGTCAATTTAATCTAGTAGTTAAACGAATATTGCAGATTATTATTAGATTTGTCAGTTTGTACAATTAGCATAAATATATAGAGAATATATAGAGAATTTTTTTAAACAGACTGTCAATGGTACTCATTAGTAAAAGGGTTTTAACGTTCTTTTCTAAAATAAGTGCATTGGGGGAGGGAGAGGGGGTTAGGAAGGTCAAAATATCTCAGAGAGTAAAAAACAGTGATATAAAAGTATAAAAGAATGCTTTTTTGGTCGCACAATCAATTGCAATTTTGTTAATATATTTTTGCATATCACCAAAAAAGAGTATAAAAATATATATATAAAAAAGAGCAAAATATTAAATGCGGAAGCTACTTTTCATGCATTGATTTTTAAAAATCCATTAAGTTTATATTTTGGGACATTCAGTTCAATTATGGACAAAACTCAGAAACGGTTTAAGGTTATTTCCCCTATTCCATTGTAACACCTTCTTCCAGTCATTACTATATGACTTAGAAATTGTTTTAAAGATCTCAGATGAAGAATATTTGTCTAAATTCCAAAATACTGGATCGATACGCAAACGTTTTCCTTTCAGTGAAATTTATAATTGAAAACAATTAATAACAAAAAAAAAAAAAAAAAAAAAAAAAAAAAATTAAAATTGGAGATTAAAAGCTGAAAATTGAAATAAGATTGAAATTAAATTATAAACGTTTTTGAAAACATGAAAACAATTTGTATGGATCAGTAATATTACTCAAGAAAGATAACTATCTATGACACTCTATATTTTAACCTTCCTGTCAGGTGATGGCAAGCTCCGCCATTTTTTATTTTCTGGATTTATTTGGACATACATAAATTGGTATTGCCTATTATAATATATTGTTATACATCTGAAATTATTTGATTTAACTTTTAAAGTTATTGTATAATTTACAATGCATAACATTGCTAAAAAAAAATAAACAAGGCAGGTACATATGGATTATTTAGATACTATTGACAAGGTACATGGGTGTATCCTTTAACACCCTCAGGTTGAAATTAAACTTTTAAATAAAAATCGGTATCGCTATAAGCAATTTCAGTTTTAAGGTAACAATTTTAATAAAAATCGGTATCGCTATAAGCATTTTCAGCTTTAAGGTAACAATTTTAATAAATCAAGACATTTTGATTTGTGAGATTATGGAATATGGTATATAGGTAATGAGTAGATACTTTCGTTTTCGACCAAAGATATTTAGACATTGAGATCTGTGTCAATGTCATATTATTCAAATTTTAGATTTGGACATGGATCCCAGCAGCAGTGCCCAGGATGTGATCAGATGTGACCTATGCGAGACAGCTATAGTACAGATGTACTGTGATTTCTGTCATGTCAACCTTTGTAAACCCTGTATTGGAGAACACATTGCTGATGACTATAACAAACATCAGATTGTCCCATTCCAACAAAGAAAATCCACCTTGATTTATTCCAAGTGCACAACACACGAAACAGAAAGATGTAAATTTCAATGCAAAGAATGCAACACATCTGTGTGTTCCTTATGCATTATAACTGATACACATAAAGGACATACCATTTCAACTCTTTTTGACATTTTTAATTCAAAGAGAGAACTCATAGGGAAAGATATTGAAGAGTTAGAAAACATAATTTCTCCAACTTATGAAGAAATAGCCACTGATATAGAAACTCAGATTGCTAATCTGGATGGAGAATATGATAGACTTTCAACAGAAGTTACAGAACATGGAGAAGAATGGCACAAAGAAATTGACAACATTGTGAACAAAATGAAGACAGAAATTGAAGAAATAAAAAATAAACATATGACCATTCTGAAGAAACATTTAGATGAAATTAAAGAAGTACAATCAGTTATTGAAAAAACATTGCTAAAACAAAATGAAATAAACGAATCAAACGAAGTGTCTATGACAGTTGAATACAGTTCTAAAATCAAAGATTTTAGGAAACTTCCTCCTAAAGTTATAGTATCATTGCCTCTGTTCAGTCCAAAGTCAAAAGATACAGAACAACTTTATGCATTGTTTGGATCTTTAACACCAATATCTACCAAAACAGAAGAAAATGGCTACAAACTGAAGAAACCACCAAGGAGAGAACTGCTGAAAGAACCAGAACTTATCACTTCTATAGAAACTGGGTATAAAGAACTCCGAAGTGTTACGTGTCTCAGTGAAGAAGAAATCTGGACATGTGGACAAGTCAGTGATATGAAATGTTTTAGCATGCAAGGGTCACTAATCAAGACAATCAAAACAAAAACAGGAGAACATGCAGTTGATATAGCAGTGACAAATGATGGAGATTTAGTTTATTCTGACTGGGAAAGAAGGATAGTTAATAAGGTGAAGAATGGACAGATAGAGGAGATGATCACACTACAGGACTGGAAACCTAACAATCTCTGTGTCACCTCCTCCGGTGAACTCCTGGTTACCATGTTCAGTGATGATCAAAAACATTCCAAAGTTGTCCGTTACTCAGGATCCATAGAGAAACAAACAATTCAGTTTGATGAGGAAGATAAACCTCTGTATTCAGGAAATGGCTATATTAAGTACATCAGTGCTGTAGTAGTATGTAACCAAGCTGGAGAATTCCGATTTAGATACACTGGTCATCCTTCTTCCACCAAGAACGGACCATTTAAACCCCGTGGTATTACAACGGACAGCCAGAGTCAGATCCTGACAGCAGACCGTATTAACCACTGTATCCATATCCTAGATCAGGATGGACAGTTCCTCCGTTATATAGATAACTGTGATCTGAAGGAACCATTTGGTTTATGTGTGGACAAAAAAGACAATTTGCTTGTCGCTGAGTACAGAGGAAACGTTAAAAAGATTAAATATCTCTTGTAAATGTTACAACTCCTGGAAATAATGATAGGAAAAAATCTTTTGTTTCGGACAGTATGAAGTTATGAACCAATACAAATTATTTCTTTTTATCTGAGTAGCGTTGATCATTAAATTGTAGGTTACAGACACTAATTTTTTGCGACACTTTAATTTCGCTAGCAAGGTATTGTATTTTAAGCGAGACAACATTTTCGCGAGCTGTGGTTTCCGTTGTAAATAATCCTTTATATATATATGTACTCGAGAATAAAATTTTTGCATGCAGACAGACTAAAGTTATTATGCTTAAATAAGATTTTCGATTAAAAAGTTATTTACAATAACTCTAACACAAATTTCGGCATTCCGACTCATTTTGTAAGTTGATCTGCCAAAATCACAAAAGGTACCTTCAGAAATACAGAAATTTGAGATGTCCTAATTTTAGCTGTTGAGAACGTCAAAAATGTTTAATCAAGAGCATAGTAGCCTTTGCATTATGACTATTGTGCATTTTCTAACATTTTACTATTACTAATTAAAAAAAAAACCCACAGGCCACGACGCTCACCCAAGTAACTCTTGCCCTGCTGTTTTACACCAGATTTTCTCCCTTGAAATACCTTTCTGGACCCCATAGCATCCTCCCCCGGGGCCATTATTTGAACAACGTAAAAACTACACTACCTCAGAATGCTTCCTTTTATTCAGTTTCAGCTTTTTTGGTCCATGCAATGTTTCTTGAGAATTTTTTTATGACACAACTGTACATCCACCCAGGATGTTTTGTGCTAAATTAAGTTAAAATTTGAACAAAGGTTCTTGAGAAGAGGTTAAAAATGTGAAGATTAAAGACGGATAAATACCAAGTGATCAGAAAAACTCAATCTTCCGTTTTCAGTTTACTTTTATATACTACTAATTTTTTTACAACGTTTAAACACTGTATGTGTCTTCTTTTTCTTTTGTTCAAAGGCATGTCTGAATCTTTGACAATGATCTGTCAAATTTAAATAAATTTTCCGTTGTTATCAAAGATGTTCTCATGTTCCGGTAAACAACAGGCCCAGGAGCCACAACGCTCACCTAAGCATATCGGCTAGAAAAAAGCACATATCAAATCAAAACTGAAAGTGTTTACTGAGGTGGGGGGGGGGGGGCTGGAATTTTAAACCCCATGGGATCATGATTTAAACGAACTAGAATCTACATACCTGAGGATAATTCCATATAACTATTAATGATCATGGCTTTGAAGTACTTGAAATGCAGATTTAAGAAGGTTTCCCTGTATATTCCTATGTAAAACTTTGATCAGTTATTTTGGCCCCACCCTAGCCCCGGAGGTCATGATTTGAACAAATTTGAAAATACACTACTTGAGGATAATTTCACATGAGTTTCATCTTCCCTGTCTCAATGGTTCTTGAGAAAAAGATTTTTAAAGATTTTTCCTATATATTCCTATGTAAAACTTTGATCGGCCATATTGACCCCACCGTACCCTTCATTTGAATAAACTAGAATCCCCTTTGCCCAAGGATGCTTTGTAGCAGTTTGTTTGAAATTGGTCCAGTGGTTCTTGAGAAGGAGATGAAAATGTTAAAAAGTTTATGACGACGACAACGACGACAGACAACGGACAAATTTTGATCAGAAAAGCTCACTTGAGCCTTTGGCTCAGGTGAGCTAAAAAGGATGCTGATTATGGTACTCCATAGATTCTCTAAATACAATAAATATGTTTTAGAGAATACAGAATTCAAAAAATTCGCACATTAAGATTGAATTTTCAATTCAAATGAGATATAAACGTAGAAGCTAATTCAAATAATATAGAATTATTTTTTAAAATAATTACCTTAATTGTGAAAATATTTCTTCACTTTTTTCACATTGTATTACAGACTCATTCAGATGCTATTTTGAGTTAGACATTTTAGAGCTTAGCATAAATATCCTACTTATTATCAATAAATATAATTTTCACTGAGTATCACTTTCAAATCTTATTTTTAACATTTTTAAAAGACCACTTTACAATAAGTTAAATCTTTTTTTTAATATAAACATGTAAAAATATGATCATCAAAGAAAAGAAACATTTCAGTTAATTGATCGTTAATTTCCATACTTATTAAGCTTTAGATGATAAACAAAAACTTTATTGGTTACTCAATACAGAAGATAAGGAAACTAAATTTTGTATCAAATCAATAAATGAAAACATGTTAAAGTAGCCATAGTCTTTTACACATGTGCATGCATATCGTTGTATTCCTTTTCATTGAAACAGGATTATTGTTGAAATGAATTTTGTCATTTACTAATTATTTTACTATTCATTGACTTATCTTTACCTTATAATTGTAATAATCTCATACTTGTCTTTTCTTGGCTCTAATTCAAAAATAAATGTTCCGTTCTGTATGTAACAAAAATTCTTGTATACCTGAGTAATATGCGTTATCCGTTAGAAGACCTTTTACCTTAAAGTTAAGATTTTACAAGGATTTTACAATTTGGGATAGAGCGGTTTTTTTTTTATTTAGCACGTTATAAGTACCCTACCGTTAGAATTTGAATTTGTTTAATATTATTTAGATATTATGGTGTCAACACCCCCACCCCCCCAACCCACCCCACCCCCCCCAAAAAGAAACTTTCATTTCATTTTACATGATCCTATTGCGACGCAATTAAATTTGTCTGTTTGGTAAATTATCATACAAAACAGATTGTATACGATACCCACCGATAAAGGCATATTAAAATCCTTTCCAGGCGCGGATCAAGAATTTTTTTGCAGAGGGTGGGGGGGGGGGATGTCCACACCAGTCCAAAAAAAAAAAAACTCCAAAAAGTCCAAACTCCAAAAACCTATTTCGATGACTTCTAATACCTCAAACCTTTGATTTTTCATACCAATTTGACACAAATTTGCGTTTATCAGGGGGGTCTGCGTTTTCCGAGGGGGTAGGGTCCAAGGTAACTATTATCTTTCTTTAGTATATGAATTTGATAACCTTGCAAATTACAGCGGGGGGGGGGGGGGGGGGGGGGGGGGCCCTGACCGCACCCCTCTAGATCCGCATATGCTTTCTGAACTAATGATTAATTTACATTGAGGGGGCGACTAAATTTAAGAAAAATGTTTAACAATATAATAAAATGTTATACAATCGAACGCCAGATTACATTTTGTTATTTTTTCATATGAATAAAAAACCACTAATAACCAACTCACACTTTTATTAGATAAAATATTATAAAGCTATTAAGTAGTAGCTGTGATATACATATTGGAATGCTCTAAAATTATGACAATGTTTTTAAAAATTACGTTGCATGCTTGAATTACGGACAAAAACGTGCAATGAATCCAGTTACAAAGTGAACAAAGTTATAGATTTTTATAATTTTGAACTGATGGCAATGTTGTATCAAATGTGTTTTTTTATTGGCTTTGGAAATTCTGTAAAAGTTTGAAAAAATTTTAAAATTTTAATATAAGTTTGAAATTTTTGATTCAGATTTTTAAGTACAATATCTAGACTTTCGAAGTTTAAAAGTTTAGCATTTGAATACAGATTTCAAAGTCTTAAAAATGCATATATTGTATTGATGAGTTATTTATCAAACAGGAATGATAACTTTGTCATAGTCAGGTGCAATCGCAATCAATCTCTCATGCAGGGTTGTCGTTCATTCCTCTCTCAGACACCTCGGCAATGGGCTCGTGAACGTCAAGATGTTTGTCGTAACGTATTAAACGGGATATTTGCAGGATTGTTTCAAATTAAATTAATAGTTTTGGATTTATTGAATAAATATCTATATCAAAACTCAGATATAAGCATAGAAATTGATTTATTGAGTCGAGGTGAGTGTATGAGCCGATGGTAGAGAGTGAATCGCAACTTCTCCGGCCTTTCCGACTGGCGGAAAAACAACCTCGAATGTATTACGAAGACACCATGACAACCCCCTTTCTATAAACTTTGAAATAAATGTGGGAATACCTCCTATTCTGTAAGTTTAACTCTATTGAATATAAAGATATTATCTAAAATACTTTTAAATCCGCCAATCTCCGACGGAAAGACCAGAGATGATGTGGTTGATGCAGGTGATAACAACGCCCGCCATTTCATTATTTTCTGGATTCTTGTTTTGATACTAAAAAAAGACGGATATTGACTGTTCTAAGGAACAATTATTTTCTATAAATTAGTTTAACTAGATGCAAGTAAGTATATTTTAATGCATCACAGGCATGGAAAAATCTAAACAGTACATGTATTAAAGTATTTAGATTGAATGGATGGGGTGTGTATTCTCAGTCTAAACATCCCATTAAAAAACATGCTTGTTAACTAAATTCGAACGGGTATATTTGCAAAATTATATGTAAGGATACTAAAACTTAAATGTTCAGGGCATTTTGTTTGTACAAAAAATGAATGAATTTAAATGTGCATTAATATGTATATTTTTGTTTCCGCCGATCATTTATGGCTGGGTTCTTTACTATAATTAATGACATTAATGTCATTCAAATTATAGATTTGGACAACGATCCCAGTATCAGTGCCCAAAATGTCACCCTAAGTGACATCTATAAGACAGCTATATAGTACAAATGTACTGTGATTTCTGTGATTACTGTGATTTCTGTAATGTCAACCTCTGTAAACCTCTGTATTGGAGAACACATTGCTGGTGAATATGATAAACATAGCATTGTCCCATTCCATAAGAGAAAATCAACCCTGATTTATTCAAAGTGCACAAAACACGAAACAAAAACATGTGAATTTCAATGTGAAGAATGCAAGACCTCCGTGTGTATGTGATACACATAAGGAACATATACATTACAACTCTTTTAGATATCTTTATTTCAAAGAGAGAAATCATAGGAAAAGATACCAAGGAGTTAGAAAAAATAATTCCCCAACCTATGAAGAAATTGCTTCTGATATAAAAACCCACATTGCTATTTTGGATGGCACGAAGAAATTGACAACATTGTAAACAAAATGAAAACAGAAATGGAGGAGATAAA